CTCGCTAGCTCGGCGCGCGATCTGAGCCTCCGCCGTGTTACAGGCACGAGTAAACGCGGCGGCCTTGCGCCCGCGCTGAAGTTTCAGGTGCTTCAACACGCATGCAGTGTCTCCAACTCTCCAGCTTCCTCGCCGGCAGTGTCCTGACTCACCGTCGCCGTCTCTGTGTTCTCCGCCTGAGTCGAATCTTCCATCATCGGAATTTTCTTCTCGATCCGACTGGCACACACGAGGCACAGCTTGTAACCTACAATCAATCACTAAGTCGGCGACGGGCAGCCACGAAGGTCATCAGTTCTCACTTCAGGCCAGGACCATCCGGCCCGGAGGACCAGAAAATGTTGGCGACGCTTTCGTTCGAATCTCCTTTCATGGTGTGGACTGTATTTAATCGCGCATCGCACAGCATTTGGTTGTTTGGTGACCGAGATCCAGGAGGAAAATGGTTTAATTGGAAAATTGGGAAAATAAATGTTATAACCTATCACGTTAGCCTAGTTAAGATTCAACTAAATATTGGATACAGGATAGAGCGCCGGATGCCGACGACTAAGGAACCTCCTTCTTAGGAAGTATATTTGGACCTAATAAAAGAGCGCCGGATACCGACGGCAAAGGAACCCCCTTCTTAGGGCGTATGTTAGGGCCTAAATAAGAGAGCGCCGGATACCGACGTCAAAGGAACCCCCTTCTTAGGGAGTATGTTAGGGCCTAAATAAGAGAGCGCCGGATACCGACGTCAAAGGAACCCCCTTCTTAGGGAGTATGTTAGGGCCTAAAATATAGAGCGCCGGATGCCGACGACAAAGGAACGCCCTCCTCAGAGAGTTTTAGGAATGTTTTAGGATAAAAAAGGATAGTCAGTAGACCTGGTCACCGGAACCGATACGCCTGCCGCATCTCCGTCGAATATCTCATCTGTGTGTTGTGTAGACCGCGCACTATTTCACTTCTCACTCAGGCTTCTCACACACTTTGTCTTCTAGTTCACTATATTTGGCGGACAAGGCAGCGAAACGTACCGGGAAGAGAGCTAGGGGCAGCGCAGTATCCCCGTCGAAGTCGAAAATGAAGTGAGGCCGGGGGTGTTTACAACTAGTTTCTATACAGCGACAGGGGGTGAAAACAAGACGCGTTGAGGACGGTCAGAGCACACAGAAAAGGCTAAAAATGGCCCGGGCGTCCAGCGCTCCACCCGAAAGACACACAAGCTGGGCGCGCACGTGCGTGCCCCACACAATGGCCCGGACCTGGGCCGGTCCTACGCAAACAGGGAGCCGCCCTGCCGCGCCGGCCGGCCAGCCGGGTCAGAGGGGACGTCAGCGTCCCGCGACCGCGGACGGCGCTCGGCTCGGCGGCGCCGGTTCGGCTCAGCAGCGCTGAGTCTGTCGCCCGTACCGCCTTGCATAGGTGCAATTTGTCGGCAACAACTTTCGACCAAATTAAGCTAGAGTCGGGAAAGGCACCATTGTGATTGCAATGAGCTTCCAAATCGATTGATATGCAACCTGACCTAGTCCGAACAGTGTCCTGAGGGGGCTTGACCTGACGACCTTTGTGTCAATCTTGATTGTGACCTTAACTGAACAAAAAGTACCCACAACATGCGACGCAGCTTGAGAGGAATACGATTATGCCTAAATTTTGCTCTGTGGCCATTTGTTTGCAAAATTATTTGCCAAAAACAAAAACCCGACTTTAGGGTAAGTTACCTGACCAGATGTCACCAGTTGACCTGAGACCCTAAATTTGAATATCAATCGCTGCGTCTCGTGACGGCCGTCAAGCTCGTTTTTTTCCACTGAACTGGAACAGACCCTATGAATGCCGCCCCCGTAGGCGGAAAATGTGCCGCCCCTGTGCTTGACTGCCCCACCCTATCGAAAACCTAGATCCGCCCCTGTTCACAACCCTAGCACAATTAGTTGAAAGTTTCTCATTACAGGGCCAGCCGCAATGACTTCATTTGATCACCGTTAGTATTTTGATCGACTTTCGTAATCGTGTCATCCCATAGCAGAGACAAAGACAAAGACAGAATAACATCCCAAAATAGATTCTGAATAATTAGGTTACACAATACACAATTAGCCTTCAAAACGCTGAGTCCGAGCAGGCGAAAAGCCTGCAACTAATGAATATAAGCAGTAAATAACACTTTCCAGCGCATTCGAAAATAGATAACAACGCATCATCGTAGGACCTAAAAACAAAGAACAAAACAAAAAACATTAAAACAGACGGTAATCCTGCAAGTATGAAGGTATATGTTTGAAGGACCATATAATCAGCGCAGATTACTGCTCTCCATTATTGTATGTTATGCCTAAAGATAATTACTGCCACACAATATGTACCATCTGCTGTTTAGAGCACGTCACCACTTCCGCACGAAAGTCCATATCCACTCCATGTGACACCTCACACCTACCGCAGGTAACACCTCACACCCATCGCAGGTGACACCATATACGGATACCTACCGCAGACCACTTTCCTGCCAGCGCGGCCCACCCGCGCCGCCCACCCCTGCGCCAAACGTGGCGCATTCGCCGCACATCCGCCGCATCAGCCGCTAATGAGCCGGTAACGCGAGCGGCGGCGCCGTGATCCGACCCACCGCCGTGGGCGGGGGCGGGGGCGGCCGGCGCGCCGGGCACGGCGGTGTTTACCACCGGGGCAGATGCGCCAATTTGGCGTGTGGTGCTGATGCTGTTTTCGACAGGACGGTCCCCGTGGGAGGCCGCGCCACTCCTGCCTGCTCCCAGACCATATCCGTACAATCGCGGATCCTTCCCAGCCTCAGTCCATTCTCACAGTCACTGCTAGTTACCGACCGCGGTCTCGGTAACGGCTATCCCGTCATCACAATTGCCACATACTACCGGCCCCGGCCCATCATCACAATCACCGCACGTTACCGGTGGCAGGAAGGGCCGCGCCGCGCGTCTGGTGCCGGGACGGACGCGGTGGCGCAGACGGCTGTGGTGTGAGGCGCCGCGCCGGCACTTCGTCTCACTATCAGCGACATTAGCCGAGCGGAAAGGGCGCATTTGTCTCACTCTGGGGAGAGCGCCGCGGGGATCGCCAGGGCGGTAAAGCACGGCGCAGAGACAGTGAGGCACGGCGCTGTCTCCTGCGCGGTATACCAGGTGAAAGATGTGACAAATACATGTTACGGATGTGACGAACACACGAGACGAACGTCACGAACATTCGTGACGTTGTTACGAGCATCCGTCACGGTTCGGCCTCAATATCGCCGAGACTACGCCAAATAATACTAGTGACGCCATACCTACGGCTTGAGATAACCCGTTATAGTGTGTTTACTAGATCGGACGTCGTATATGGTTTCAAAGGACCCTAGATGCATAACACATTCGGATATCGACTGTTGTGCATCCTTCCCCTGCCCAGAAAAGCACTGCGTTGTGATAGAAAAAGGCTTTGCTGGCATAGGCGGCGGAACGGGGAGGGCACCGGGGCACCGTGTCCCCCTTTCATTTTGGCATTTTAACATTAGCCCTATGGGCGTTGCATGGAAAGAATGGGACCAAAAGTCGGCAGTGCCCTCCCCCCTTAATTGAAGGTGTTCCGCCGCTACTGTTTGCTGGAAGCTGCTGGAAAACTTGGAGAAACATCACTATATTCCGCAGAATAGCTGCAGCTTCGTTGTTGTTAAAAAGGGAAAGGGAAAAGACATATGCAGAGACAGCACATTTGGACCAGGATAAGGCATATTCAGTCGATGCTACACCACACACAGATAGCAACCAAATATTGCGATGCAATAAACAGAACATGGTGCGAATTTTTTCCGATTATTCTGAGTCTCAAATGGATCAGTTTTGAAAGCACGACACAGCGCTGCTTGCTTTCAAAACAACGGTCCAATATTCATAATGGCTTGCAGCCTGCGAGACCGAATTATGTATTCTTGCAGAATGTCTGAAGAACAAAGACAAGGGATTTGAAATTCTTTTGGAACGCTCGACAACGCTTTTAACTGAATAAAGAAAGCAGGCATCCGCACATTTTATATTGAGAAGGTGTATCCTTGAAACAGCAACATTAAAGAAGATCTCATTCCTTGGAATATCAAACCATGATAAAGAAAAGACAGAGGCTAGCCGTTAAATGTGTGTAGTTAGTATCAAAAGCAATCGATCGCTATGTAGTTGTGTCGGTATTATCTGCCACTTACGATTAGGTACGCATGCATAATGCTTATGAACATATGGACGAATACCTACGGCCTAGAAATCGGAGTTCAAAACGGGATATATGGATTACTTGATGTGTCCGCTGACTTTTGTTGAGGAATAGATCATGGCTTGTATGTCCGTAAAAAGCCGGTCTTTGACGACCGGAACACTTTGTTAACACATGCGAAATTCCCAGGCGCTATTTCGGGCACTGCCAGCGGCTGCACAGGCCACCTGACAGAAACTCTGAGCGAGCACAATTTTTCTTTGATCACTTTCATAAACTGTTATTCCACTAGATTGTGTATACAGTCAGTTCCTCGTCCCGTTTGGCTTGATCGCAGAGCTCTGGGCTCCACGATATTAGTTCAAGGAACTGAAGAGAGGTAATTTAATACAAGACTGCACATGTTGAAGGGAAACCTTATGAGGGCACAGTTTTCGAAATGCCGGCCAATTCAGATGAAAGCCACATCCGCTTCTTGGCTGCAGCTCTCTCCGATGAAAATGACCTCTTTGCTTTGATGCTAATAATAACTATTGGAATTTAGAACCATCGAGAATGAAATGACAAAAAAATAGGGTGACAATGGCAATGCAAAGTAGGAAATAAAAATCATTCGCAGTGCTAAACATAACCCAATGTGTTCACAGCACGAGGCTCCATCCACAAAAAAGCAACAACCACGAAATGCAACTGGAAAAGGCACACTAAAAGCCATGATCTCATCACCCTGCCACGAGCGGCGCCAGCGGCCGAGGCTGCGGCGTCGCACCACCAGAGCCACTCACCCGTCCCTTGCAGTAGCTCCTGATGTCGTGCTCGGAGACCGAGTCCGGCCGGCGCAGGCGAATCCACACGGCCAGCTCCTCGCCCATCCGATCATCGGGCACTCCGAACGCCTGTGCACAGCCAGATTTACGGTCAGAAGGCCGCTCTCGGGTAGTTAAACACGAACTAAACACGGGGTGAATGGGCGATCTATAACCTTGCCGCATCTGCCGCGCAAAACTGCTGGTGAGGGGCAAGAACTTGGGCACATGAGGGTAGTTAATTTTTGGGCCATAAATTTGTTTCCACGCTGTATCCGAAAATAAATTGCTCTCGTGACCAGCGGCGCGAACCGCCGTCTGTAATTGAACTCTGATCGCCAGCCACCATGGTTGTTTGTCTTTTATCGTCGCGCCTCATGGCAGGCTGAAGAATGTTGCCACGCTTCCAATATAAGCTTGTTTTGGCAGCCAGCTCCCAGATCACAATTTATCGTCGATGTACTGAGTGCACACTGAGCCGTTCAACACGGCCTGGCCTGAACCAAGTCAGCGGATTCCCATAGAATACTGCCTTCTTAATTTCTGATCAGAATCGGAGTTTGAAATTGTCAATGCTCGAGGTTTGATTGTCAGAAATGGAACAAAATTGCACAACGCTACACTCACACACAGCATGAGCTTGAGCAGCTTACACCCACCACGGAAAATTAGCCGGCCAATGCGGTGGATGTCGTGATGAATCGAATGTTCTAAACAACATCAACAGCAGCAACAGATGGTGTTGTGAAAGCTTATCATGTACAAAAATGATATGGAACCACATGTCTTAAAATGTATATAAGGGCCAGCTGCATTTTCAGCTAGATTGGATTAGCATACAACATAGCGCTTGCCTTGTAGCCGTTCGAGTGGTATATGAAATAGATATTGGACTGCTCAGCTGCTGACAGCTTGTTAAAGGACCAAAAGTGCAAAGAGATTTCTGAAGCCAATTTGCTTATCTACATAACACATTCACAGCACGATCAATGGTTTCTACAACACCAAGCCTGTCAGGCTCATATCAGGCTCAAAGTATAAATGGCTGCGCTGAAAGCATTGACTGGTTCTTGTTCGTGCTTGTGGGATATTACCCGGTCCGGGAAAAGGTATGTTAGGGGAAGCGGGGGTAACACCGCCCCCCTAAGCTTTTCGCCATAATGAGAGAATATGTGTGAAGCCTCTTGGTAGTTATTGTCTTGGTTACAATATTTAAACATTTTCTCACGTGTTTTAGGAACTTATTTTGCATGCTCCTAAAAGGTTTTCATGTATCACGACTTTTAAAAATACCTTGCATATTTGCTGCCTACAAATTGTGTGGGACGTGGGTAACCCCGCCACCGGTGTTGATGTTAACCCAACCCATTCCTACGAAAGCTTTTAAAGGTAGTGTGCCAGCTTTCTTGGACCGTATGGAGTTAATGGCCCAGATAAGGAGAACCGGATTTTTAGAACTTATCCATACCTTCAAAACTCATGGAAACGTCTTAAATTCTTCAAATTTTGAGTACCCCAGTGCGAAATTCGCCCCGACGGGTTGTCGGTCGTACCCCAACCACATTTCACACCACTATGAACAATAAATGCACACACTGAAATCGCTATTACCGATATGCTCATCCAATCAAGTTTCGATAAACCCGTTCATCATCATCTCCTGCGGTTTCGAACACGCCTGTTAGGTGGCTTCTGATGCTCGTCGAGGTCGGAATTTCCAAATACGCGTGGTGCGTCGGGCCGCGCGCTCTGACTTCGGCCAAGAAAAATGCGTCAGCTGATCATTGTCATTTCTGCCACTTGCGTGTGGTGAAATGGGGTCATAACTTATAAGACGGCTTTTTCATATCAATTATTTTACATAAAATCATATTTCAAACGATAAATAATGTTCGACAGCCAAATAAAAGAAACAATACCAATACGGGCTTACAGTTTAAGGCTCGACATTGTGTTGTCTACGATTAGACAGCTGATAACTCATTCCCGTACGTCGTATGGTCGTAACACTATAATGACCTTTGCTTATTGTCACAAGTGCGCCGCATTCGCGATTGTTGCCCGACGCCTGTTTGCAGGTGAGCCCACTACAGTTGTTATACATATCTAAAAACCGAAAAACTTTTAGTCGAAAAAGGCACTATTCCAGGCCCATTTTTGACTTTTTTGCGATATTAGGTAAAAACAGAAGCTTCTTATCCTAGGAAAAATAAAATGGGAAATCTTTCAAAGGTGGCACACTACCTTTAATTGTTCAAAGATCGCGTGCGATGAGTTTCCTGTCCGTAGTGGTAATTTTCGCAAATAATCGGTAATGGACACCTAAATAGGTATAGGTTCATCAGCTGTTTGCCAGTTTTATACAGCTGGCAAGTGCTTGGTCGGGATGCATGAAAAATATTAAGTAAAAAATCAAATAAGCTGCTTTTTCCCGGCTTAGGAACATCTACGAACATAAATGAAGCGTGTCTTTGGAGTTTCATCACTTATCACGCTACAAACAGGAAACACCGCAACCTCAATTGGGGTAACACCGCCACGGGGTGGCGGTGTTCCCCAATAAGTGATCATAAGCAAAAATCGCCAGCGGCAAGAATGTACTACACGGTTCAAGCAAACCTATCTTACTGGACAAAGCCGATCAGTTATTTTTCGATGTAATCAAGTAAATCAAAATGAGTCTCTACTTAAAGACATTCAAAAGTGCTCCCAACTCATCGAATTTTTATAATAGAATGTGCATTTTTCTTTAAATGCCCACATTGAGCTTCGATTACACTGAAACACCGGAACACAAATCAGAAGACGCTTACCTTCGTGCGGTTAATAGGAAATAACGGATTTTTACACTTCACATTTCATACTTTCGCCGCCAGATGGGGTGGCGGTGTTTCCCACAGTGGCGGTGTTACCCCCGCTTCCCCTAGGTACTGTATTTAACGAGAAGCACATCGAACTAGAAGAACAATGCACTTCGGTAATTATTTGCGACCTCTGAAATACTCTCACACTGATAGATAAAGACTACACGTCTGTGGCTTGGCTCACGCGGCTATTATTAGAATTGCACATGGTAAAAGAACTGAAGCGCCTCTTTGATCTATTTTCAGTGTTATCTGTGTGCGCTGTCTATGTAGTATGACACAATGCATTATATGGATGTTCCTGTCTTGGACATTTGCCACTTGAGTTGTTATGATTGAAGTACGTCTTCAAGCAGACGCTTATGAGAAATAATAAACGAATAATAAACGAAAATGCCTCAACGCTAACGTGAGAAAAACGCAGCCAGGCACGGACAGAAAGCATTAAGATCAGTCAAACTGTAAACAATAAATCGGCGTTTCGAATAGAAGAATTACAAACTTATGTATTCAACACACATGAGCCCTAAGTACACCCAATGTCTTTTTCGCTTTAGCCATGCCTTGACGAAAGGACATGCAAAAAATATTATGCGAGATTTGGACTAGGAACATCGCAGCATTCCAAGTAACCAATTTCAACTGACGCTTACCTCATGGACCAGCAATGAACCTTCTCGAAGGGGAACTGAACGCCACGCCGCCAGGTGCATATAACATGATAGAAATCACTCGCATACTCAATCTTAGGACATGTCTTTTATTTGCTAGACCTGTCGCATTTTTTCAAGCACATCGTGTTCTACACCGTTCAAGCTGGCCCTGGTTTCCGCTGCCGACCGGCGCCGAGGCTGTTGTCGAGTGTTGCCAGCTATTTTGAGCCATCAGCGCTTATTTACCATCTGTGCGCGTGACCTGGGCGCCAATGAGTGTCACCCTGTCGGTATCTGATACAACAGACCAACACACGGTCGAGAAAAGTCACGAAAATGGCCACCGATACGGGGGAGATGGTTGAGCCACTTTGTCTACGGACACTGTGGTGAAACCTAATACAAGGGTACATGGTCGCGGGTCAAACCACCACACGTGCACTGTGAGGAGTTTTTTCAGTCGGGGAATAGTGACGGAAACACAGCGACATGCACACCCACCCTACAATCAAACGTGGTGTGCTTGAAAGGAAACCAGGCTCGGAATGAAGGCGAAACTTTGTGTAAAGCTGACATTTGAGTCTTCCAAATGCTATGCCTTGCCTCCATCTTGTATGAGTTATCCCTTCTAGTGATTTGAATGGAACAATAATGCGATCTTTATCAATCGATTCTGTTGTCGATAATGATCGTCCACTAAGTATATTCGACGATCATTATATCACAATTCATATGTTTCTCAGAAATCGTCGTAAAATTCAGCCTGATAAAATCAGGAAAGCAGCTTTGAAGCGGAAGAAAGCTTTCATGGAACCTCATGAAATTCTACGAAATAGGGTACCAATCGTCGGGTGCATGTATCCTTTCACAGCCATTTTTATCAAAGGTATGCTTTCTATCTCCCAATTTATACTATCAGCACTAGAACAGTACTGTCTAAAATAATACCCATAACTAGGCGTAGAAGCATAGCCTGAGTATTGTATTACACGTATTGTTGCATTATATTTTGTTTCATATTTACTGTAGCAGTAAATGCACATGAAGAAGGTCATCTCCCATTAGTCTGCCACAAAACAGGAAACTTTATCTCGGTGCGGCCATTCAGACGGCTCAAGTTGCCCCCGCAATCATTTCTCATCACATGGATTCATTTAATGGACCATTGCAGTCACCGCATGATGGACTAGGGCGGCTGGGGACTCAGATAGCGGGCACGGATGAGCGATACTGCTACCGTCCATCCGAGGCGCGGGATGCAACTCCAAAGGTCATGATGGCTGAATGACGCACAAGAAAAACGAGCCAATGTTAATTTGAACATTAATGTGACTGTTTAGGCTTATAGGTATAGTAGGATATGGGTAAAATCTGACTTCTTAGAACAGGACTTATCTGACGATATGCTGCGCGCTCTGCTGTCCGCGCGCATAACCAAGCCATGCGGTACAGGCTACTTTCAGGCGTCTGTACTAGTAACGCCATCTATGAGTGCGAGTGCAAGTGTCTCCTCTCCATGCACGCACAAAGCGAAAGACGAAAAGCGCATCAAGACCAGGCCAAATTCGCTTCT